TATCATTACGTGATGATTGTTAATTTTGTTGTAACAAATTGCTTTATGGAATTTCTGATTTAATTCGATCATCATCCTCGAGATTTTTATTTAATTTTTTTAGTTTCATTTTGTGGACTTTTTTCTTGGGATCATTTTCATTTGATGATGTGCATGTTGGTTTTTCGATGCTTCTCCGTTGACATTTTTAACAGTCATTGGTAGTAATTGTTTAATTGGATGGAATTTGATATTTGACTGGGGATAGTCATGAAAGTATCATTACGAGTGTGATGATCGTTAATTTTGGTTTATTTGAAATCTGTTGGTATTTTGTTGTAATAAATTGCTTTATGGAATTTCTGATTTAATTCGATTATTATCGATCATTCGATCATCGTCGAGATTTTTATTATTTAATTTTTTTAGTTTCATTTTGTTGCAAAATTATAGTAGTATTTTTATTGGATGATGATGATTTTATTGTTTCGGTGATGGAATTGTTTTATTGTTTAGAATAATTGTGGAGGAATAGTTTGTTTGATTTGTGTTAATTGATGAATATAAAGTAAATGTGGATTTAAATTTTTGATTGAAGCAGGGAAATTAGAAAATTTGAAAAATAAAACGAGATCTTTGTTCAAGTTGCAGAAAATATTGTTAATATTTCGTCAGAAAATAATGAACGTTTCTAATAAAAAATATAAAATTGTATTTATAAATACACAAGATATTTCTTCACGTTAGTTGCAAACAGTATTATTAATATTTTGTCAGAAAATAATTAATGTTTCCAATGAAAAATATAAAATTATAAAATATAAGATATAAAATATAAAATTATAAAATTATAAAATTATAAAATTATAAAATAGAAAGTTTCCAATTCAATATAAAACATTAAACAAAATACTCACACGTGACAGAAATAAAGCAATTCAACCCAATAATTTACACAAGATTTTTCATTAAGTTAATTGCAAAAAATATTGTTAACATTTCGGTAGAAAATAACGAATGTTTTCCAATAAAAAATAATGAATGTCCAATAAAAAATATTGTCAAGTGCGAAGGGTTAACTTGCAACGATCCTATCCCAACATTTTATCGATGTCGATAACAGCCACGAATCTCGATATTAAATACTATCGAACGAGTGTTAACGATGCAATCTGCGACTGTTTAACACGTTACTGCCACATGTACCACATGGTCCACGCAAATTTCTGTAAGAAAATATTTCTAAGGGACACATGGTCACGGACAGTAAAGGAAATATTAAAATATATAAAAAATTATTAAAAATTTGAATATTCAATATTTGAATAAAATTTGAACTTAACCCTTTGCACTCGGAAGTTTTTCACTAGAAATATTTTAATATTTTTAGGGGAATTTATTTTATTGAGGAACAAAGCTATTTTTAATATTTTTTAAATTGGTGAGTTATACAAAATATATTATTAAATATCAAAATATATAAACATTACCAAAAATTTGAATATAAATTAATCCTTTAAGTAACACTATAATATTAAATATCAAATTTTATAATTTTATAATTTTTTAAATTGATGACTTATACAAGGTATAATATTAAATATCACATTTTATAATTTTATAATTTTCTAAAATGATGACTTATGCAAGATATAATATTAAATATCAAATTTTATAATTTTACGATATGAAATTGAATGGAGAGTCATCTCTCAAGTGCAAAGGGTTAATGTTTTATTTAAAAAATCAATACAGTTCACTAATAAAATAAAATATCACAAGTAAAATTTCCATGCCATAGAATATGTTAACACTAGATTTACTGACATTTACTGTGCAGTTTGTTCTATTGTTAGAAAAATTATCCGTCCATTTAGGTCTTAGAAATTAGAGGATTAATAGTAGACAATTAGGATACATATTAATAATTTTGTCAATAAAAATCGACCCAGATATTTACCAGATAATTAAAAAAAAATTCAATATAAATCAAATCGACCCAAAAATTAATTAAATAATGTTTATAAAATTCTATATAAGTCAAATCGACCAAAAAATTAACCAAATATTGTTTACAAAATTCTATATAAGTCAAATCGACCCAAACATTTATCAAATAATATTTACAAAATTCAATATAAATCAAATCGACCCATTAACCAAACAATGTTTACAAAATCCAATACAAATCAAACCAACCCAAAAATCATTCAAACAATTTCTACAAAATTCAATATAAAAAATCTAGCATAAATCAAGCGTTAACATATGTACACACGCGTCGAAAAATAAAAGTGTCAGCGCAGAAATCCCGGGGCAAAAGGAACTGCACCTTCCGTGTTCATTCAAGTTCAGCAGACAAGTATTAGCAGCGTACTAACTCGTGTCTTTGGCGCAATTGGCGGCCTCCTGCCGGCGTGCTATATATTTTTAGAAATATTTTCATGGAAGCGTGGGAGTGGATTCTGTGGCGGATGTACACTCAGACGACGGGGGGCGTACAAAACGGCGGAATGATATCGGTTGATAGTGACACCGTGACTAAAAATGACGACTGACTCCGAGGAGAATCATTTAGGAATGAATATTTATTTCCAGTTTTTGGATTCAATGATTTACCAGGTATTCACTTAATGACATGAATATTCGTTATGGGTTTTGCTGTCGAATGGCAGTTATTTTCTATGTGGCAGTTAAAGGTTAGGGCGATTTTTGACGTTTTTGGTTTTTGGTTTTTGTGAATTTCAATGGGTATTTTTTATTTGAGTTTGGACAGTTTTTTGAGTGAATGAAATTGAAATGTTGATTTTCTTCGGTTTTGGTTTTGACCAGTGTTTCTCAATGGTAGTCCCATAGGGGGAATTTGAGTTTTGAGGTGGAAATTTGGAATGTTTCGTGTATTTTGATGTTTATGCAGGTAAAGAAAGTAGTAGAAATGTTAGGATGAATAGTAGGAAAATATTGTAATATAATATTAGAAAAATATTGTAATTTCACATTAGAAAAATATTGTAATTTCACATTAGAAAAACATTATAATAAATATTGGAATAATATTATAATAAATGTTCGAAAAATATTGTAATAAATATTAGACAAACATTGTAATGTCATATTAGAAAAATATGGTAATATAATATTAGACAAATGTTGTCATATCATAGTAGAAAAATATTGTAATATAATATTAGAAAGGTATTGTGATATAATATTAGAAAAAAATTATAATAAATATTAGAAAAAGATTGTAATAAATATTAGACAAATATTGTCATATCATATTACAAAAATATTGTAATATAATATTAGGAAATTATTGTGCTATAATATTAGAAAAATATTGTGATATCATATTAGAAAAATATGGCAATATAATATTATAAAGAAATTATAATAAATATTAGAAAAATATTATAATATAATATTAAAAATTATATATATGTCATAAGAATTTTAGGAAGGCTTAGGTGGGGTATACCACAAAAAAGGTTGAGAAACACTGTTCTAGATTTAATTATATCAGCTTCTGACTTAATTACTAGTTGAAAATATTCGTATTTCCGAAGTTTGTGTTTTTGGGATTCCTGTTCATTAAATTTATAATACTTCTACTATTCAGTGAATTTTTAATATTCAATTAACCGAAGTGCTTCTGTCGAATTTAATTGAAATAATTAATTTTCTGAAGATATTAAATATTACAAGGATGCATGAAAATAACAGACAGAAGCAATAGTAGTAGAAAATTGTTAGAAATTTACATGAAGTTATATATATTATTATTATTATTGTTATTAATATTTAATTATATGGCATGAAACGTTTGTTTCGCATTTTGACAGTTTCGTATAACTTCAAACTTCACTTCCGGCGGATTCGACTTATCAGTGGTCAACACACTCCCAACACACTTTTGTCAACACGTTGAAATTACGTTAGAAGTAACGAGCATTTATTTATATTAATGCTCGTCTTTTATTTATATCAATAGGTTAATATTAATTAATATTAATATTAATATAAATTAATATTAATATTAACCTATTAATAACAATAGGTTATTTTTAGTTTCTTCACGTGAAACTATTTATTTTTAAAATCATTTCGAATATTCGATGCTACCCATTCATATCCATAAGCGTAATATTCCGCACAAAAATTATAACAATTTGTTATTTTCAGTTTCCTCAGACGTTCATTCTAATATTCAAGAAAATTATTTACCTTTCAACATTATTTCGAAAATTCGATACTTCTAACCCATTGCATCCGTAAGCGGAATATTCCGCACCCTACCAAGAATTTTACACGATCAATATTTATAAAAATTGTAACAGATTATTTCCAGTTTCTTCAGACGTTCATTCTAATATTCAAGAAAATTATTTACTTCCAAAATCATTTTGAAAATTCAATACTCTGAATATATCAATAATTGAAACAAACCGGAACTGATTTCGACTACGTAATTCTAGCGTTACGTTCACGGAGCGTCTCGTTGTCGCGGGACGCAGAGGCTCCGTGAATCTAGGCGGCAGAAACGCGCGAATAGGTTCGCGGGGGTTGAATCTTGAGATGGTTGAGAACGAAGGTACACAATTAGGTGTTGGCGTGGGCGTAGAGGATTCGGAGGGAAAAAAAGCTGGCGAATGGGGACAAACGACATTCTGTGTCACGAAACAGGCGAAGGAAAGAGCGGAGAACAAGGTACGGAGAAAGGAAATGAAAGGGAAGAAGGGAAAGTGGAGGGACGGCCGTGGGAAACGAGGAGGGGCGAAGGATAAGAGGGAGGGGGAGGAGGGGAAGTGAGCTCAGAAAATTCCGTGTATTCGCCTTAATAACTTCTGCGTACTCGGAGCGTAAAATATATACATGTTAATCAATGATTTCCACTTGGGTATGTTGTTTTAATTTAGCTGACTTTGCACCACGTGGAATGATTTTCAAGTGATTTGTAAGTTGATGCAAAAGGTGCAAATTCGTTTTTGATTTTATGAAATTATAAAATTTCTTTTGGAATATTATTTAAGGATAAATGAATTTATTCTAGATTTTAGTAGAATTATTACAAAGGGTACAAGATCCATTTTTGGTTTAATAAAATTAGAAAATTCCTTTTGGAATATTGTTTAAAAATAAATGAATTTATTCTAGGTTTTAGTGAAGCTACTTTTTTTACTTTTGATTTAATTTAGTGAAAGACTGGTTAGTATTTTCATGCAATTAATTGTTTCAATTAAATTTGAGAGATCATTTTGGTTAATTGAATATTGGACATTGACAGATTGAGAGTAGGAACAAGAGGAATATTGTAAATTTGATGGACAACTAGGAATTCTACATGGATATTTTCAACTCTTAATTGAGAAGCCACTGTTAAGTCCCGAAAACAAACATTGAAAAAATCAATGTTTCCTAATACACTATCCATTTGATCAGAAAAGTATACAAAGTCTCTTCTCATTAATCCCATTCACCTTCCCAAAAACCAGGCAACACGAAAAAGTGGACACCCAAGAAGAGGACCATCCAAAAATCTCCCAATGAAACCCTACACACCAGAGCACATCAAAAACCAAACGTCCATTCCAAGAAACCAACTTCCAACTTTGCACGTTGACCCAAAAAACGAAATGCAGCTAACTCGATGACAATCCAAAGAACCATCTCAAGTAAGTACCTTCAAACCACCTCCCATACTAATCTCCACACACAGACTTACTTCTTCTCAAGCCAGCTCTATCAAGCCACCAGGATTCTCGTCTCATCCACACCTGCAAGGTTTCATTGAAACACAAATTTCTAACCTTCTCCTTAATTGCCCTGGCTTCTCTGAAGTAATGAGTACGCTAGAAAGAAGGGAAACTAAAAAAGAGGAAGAGCAAGAGCTATCTAACCCTCTAAAATCTTTCTCTCTCTCCTTAACTGCATTGGCTTCTCTGAAGTAATGAGTATGCAAGCAAGAACAAGCATCAGAAAGATATAGGAAGAGCAAGAGGAAAAACAAATTTCTAACCTTCTAAACTCTAACTCTCTTCTTAACCACATCAGCTTCTCTGAAGTAATGAGTACGCAAGGAAGAAGGAGCATTAGAAAGAAAGGAAAGTGAGAAAGAGTAGGAGCCAGAGGATCCTCGCCTCATCCACACCTGCAAGTTTTTATTGAAAAACAGATTTCTAACTCTTCTTAACCACATCAGCTCCTCTAAAGTAATGAATACCCAAGGAAGGAGCGTCAGAAAGAAACAGAAAGAGCCAGAGAATCCTCGCCTCATCCACACCCGCAGGTTTTCATAGGAAACCAAATTTCTAACTCTTTTCGTAACCACCTCAGCTTCTCTGAAGTAACAAGTACTCAACGAAGAGCAAGAGGATCCTCACCTCCACACAACCTGCAAGGTTTCATAGAAAACCAAATGTCTAACCCTCTAAACTCTCTTCAGCTAAGAAAGGAAAGAAGCAAGGATCCTCATCTCCACACAACCTGCAAAATTTCATAGAAAACCAAATGTCTAATCCTCTAAACTCTTCTTCAGCTAAGAAAGGAAAGAAGCAAGGATCCTCATCTCCATCCAACCTGCAAGGTTTCATACAGACAAATTTTAACCCTCTAATTCCGCTCTAAACTCTCAACATTGGCTTCTTTGAAGTAACGAGCACGCGAAAAAGAAGAGAGGAGAGAGAAGAGAGGAAGAGCTCCATGGAGAGAGTATGCGCGATAGAGGCAGAGCGCTGGAGGGAGAAGCTGGCTCAGGGAGGGAGGGGAAGGCTGACTCGTAGCCGGGTATCGATCGTCGACTAGAAAACTACCCCTCGAGGAAGAAGCGCAGTGTGCAAAGCCGACTACGTGCGAGTCGGTGGTGTCCGTGGTGCTCGTGGTCCACGCGGCTCTGTAGACGGCCCAGTGTTTCAGCGAGCACTCTGATCGGTTGTATTCCTCCTCGGCGAGCATATATTATCGGCACGCTCCGAAGACCGGATCGTCGGCGTCCGAGGGTGTCGCGGGAGTCCTGCATTCGAGGCGCACGAGGTGAGGTTTATCGACGGCGAACGGACTCGCTTGTTCCACTTCTGCCTTGACACCGAGCTATCGACAGAATCCGTTACACAATTCTCGCGACGCCTAGTTCCAATCGGATCTTCGCCTCTCTGGCCTGGACGTTTCAAGGTGAAGTCGCTATGTCCTTTGAGGTCGAGTCTCGTCCACTGTACTTTGACTTGTTCTGAGTTACTTGATAGACTTGGATATTTTTGTAGAATGTTCAGGGCTTGTTGAGGTACTGTTCGGTATGTAAGAGGTAGTTCACTTTGTGAATTTGGCGCAGAGGTTAACGAAGTTCCGCAATCTGTCGACATTTTGTGGAAACTATGTGAATAGGTTGCTGTTGTTTGGCAGTGGAAGAGTCTTTGGAATGATCTTGGGAATTACATTTGGATTGTGTAATCTGAAGGAAATTTATTGCTATAAATTTTTTGGTTTTGTAGTATTTGCTCGGTGGTTCTAGTGTTAATGATTAAGGAATGATCTTGGGAATTACATTTGGATAGTGTAATCTGAAGGAAATTCTAGAATTTTTTAGTTTTGGTATTCGGTGGTTCTAGTGTTAATGATTAAGGAATGATTTAGTATCTAACATTCAGCTTTTACAAGAAAATTTAGGAAGGTTCAAGAGCTCAGTAGTGTTAATGATTAAGGAATGATTTAGTGTCTAACATTCAGCTTTTACAGAGAAATTTAGGATGGTTCAAGAGCTCAGTAGCGTTAATGATTAAGGAATGATTTATTAGTATCTATTCAGCTGTCTGAATTCAGCTTTTACAGAGAAATTTAAGCTCAGTATAGTGTTAATGATTAAGGAATGATTTAGTAGTGTCTAACATTCAGCTTTTACAAGGAAATTTAGGAAGGTTCAAGAAGTAGTGTTAATGATTCAGTAACCTAAAGTGCAAGCTAACTGCAGTCTCAATAATTCAGTTCACAAAGAAATATTAAGAAGGTTTAACACTAGAACCAGTCAACATCTTGAAATCATTGAATCTTCATGAATACAATGAACGTCTAGAGAAACCAAGAATATTGCCACAATTCTTTCAAGGATTTCATATGAATATATTTGTCAAACTTCAGTTTGTCTCAATAATTCAGTTCTCAAAGAAATATTAAAATGGTTTAACACTAAAACTACTAACTAATATCTTTAAATCATTGAATCTTGATGAATACAATGAACGTCTAGAGAAACCAAGGCCACAATTCTTACAAGAATTTCATATTAAAACATTTGTCAAACTTAACAGCTTCAATCATCCAAAATAATTCTAGAAATAGTGTACTGAATACCTAAAAAAATCAAAAATGTCAATTAACCTAATTAAGGTAACCATCTCTAATTTAGCAAAATCTCAGAAGCTTCCATACATTTTGCAATCTTCGTTTCAGTTGGATATTGAAGATCCTAACCTATACTCATGCCAACCTCTGCCTCTCTGGAACCTTGATTCTGGCACCGGTCCCTGAAGCTCTTTCCTCATTCGTCCTTGCTCCTGATGCGGCACACACATTTCCAGCAACTCCATGCCTCGGCTCCTCCATTCTTTATACTCTAAGGGAGCTAAAGCTAGCGGAACGTACTGGTAGAAAGATTATAGGTGAATCCTTTTTTTACGTGCAACTTTTGCCCTTACTCGTGCGACAACGCTACCGTCGGCGTTCTGAACTTGTTAACACTGGGATTCAGATGAGTCAAAAGTAGTCATCTTCACAGTTTTGGGAAAAAGGATTCATTGATTTAGATAAATATAAATTAGAATTTGAGGGCATTGGAAGCTCAGTAAATAGATTCTAATTTGTATTGCATAATCTCTGAAGAAATCTGTGCCTTTAGATAAAAATATAATATTGAAAGCTCAGTAAATGTATTTTTATCTAAAATTAAAGATAGAGGATTTTCTGAGAGATTTTTTAGTAAATGGATTTAGATGAATACAAATTAGAATCTATTTACTGAGCTTCCAATGTCCTTAGATTCTAATTTTTGGAAGCTAAATTCTAATAATTGGAAGCTCAGTAAATAGATTCTAATTTGTATTTATCTAAATCAATGTATTGCATAATCTCTGAAGAAATCTGGGCCTTTAGATAAAAATATAAGGATATTGAAAGTTGAGTAAATATATTTTTATCTAAAGACAGAGGATTTCCTGAGAGATTATTTAATACATTGATTTAGATAAATACAAATTAGAATCTAAGGACATTGAAAGTTCAGTAAATGTATTTTCATCAATTTAACACTACAACCTACCAGTCAAACTGACTTTGAAATTTTTTCATGGAAAGTCCAACAGTATTATTGAGAATTCTATTGATTTACAATTCAGTTTGCCTATTGCTGAATCAATCTCTATACTAACTTCTCAAAGAATGATCTGTTATGTTTTTTATAATTATTGAAGTAATCAGGGTTATTTTGACCTCTCTGGTAGTTCTAGTTAATAAGAAAATATAACAATCAATTTTACTAGTTCTAGTGTTAAGAGGCAGATTAATCCTTCTGTTAGCAAACTATAAGAAATTACAATCAATTTGACTAATTCTGGTATTAACAGGGAAGTTAATTTTTTTATTAGCAAACTATAAGAAAATATAATCAATTTTATTGCTAGGTTTAGTGTTAACAAGAAAGTTAATTCTTCTATTAGCAAACTATAAGAAAATACAGAAGAATGAATTTTACTGCTAATTCTACTGTTAACAGAGAAGTTAATTCTTCTATTAGCAGGCTATTAAAAACTACAACAATCAATTTTACTAGTTCCAGTGTTAACAGAGAATTCTTCAGTGGACAATTTATATTTTTGGTGTCGTGTAAAATGATAATAACCGTGCCGTCGCGGTCCCCGTGTGATGCAATCGCGGCGAGCCATTGGCTCCGTCGGACTTGTTCGTTCCCCGGCGTAGAAGTCGGCTTGATTCGTGCACGCGTGATATTCGAGAGGATTACCCGTGGCGGTGATTATTACGTTATAAGTAAGTCATGATGCTGGGGAACGTGGTCGATCAATAACATTGAAAATCATCCGTCCGTGGACGAGCGGATCTGGCGTGCAGCCAACCGGCCAGTCATAAATTTCAACCCTTCCCTTTGTTTTCCGGAATCTCTTTGCCAACCTGCGAACAACTCTGTTGCAGATCTTCGCTGGGCTGTAAATAAGGGCAGAAGCGGTCCACCATGGCGTTCGCGGGGTTGAAGAAACAGATTAACAAGGCTAACCAGGTGAGCAAATCTGTGAACGAACAAGGGATCAAGAGCGAATGGTGAATGGCTGTGAGTGTGGGCTGATGGGGAGTTTATAACAAGCAGTTTTTTTCTGGGGTAATTAGGGTATCAGTGATAGGCAAATGTTTGGGTGGAGTTTTTATTTTTATGGATAATTGAGGAGTTTTTTGTGTAAGTGGCGTATGGGGTGTAGACTGTTTAATAGTGGCGTTGAGTTAATGTGGTAGTTAATTTTTGATGGACATGTGTCTTAATTTATCAGCTGCAAATGTTTGGGTGGAGTTTCTATTTTTATAGAGAATTGAGGAGTTTTTAATGAGATAAGTGGAGTATCAGGTGTAGACTGTTTAATAGTTAGCGTTGAGTTAATATGGTAGTTAGAATTTCTGACGAATATATGTCTTTGTTGATGAACTGTATATAGTAAGGTGGAGTTTATATTTTTAAGGGTAATTGAGGAGTTTTTTGTGATATAAATGAGGGATGAAGCATAGAGTGTTTAATGGGAGAACTATGGGTGGTGTTGAATTAATATGGTAGTTAGAATTTCTGTTGGACATGTGTCTTCATTGATCAACTGTAAATGGTAAGGTGGAGTTTATACTTTTATAGAGAATTGAGTTTTTAGTGACATAAGTGAGATATGGGGTGTAAACTGTCTAATAGTTGGCGTTTAGTTAATATGGAAGTTAGAATTTTTGTTGGACATGTGTCTTCGTTGATGAACTATATATAATGAGGTGGAGTTTATATTTTTATAGAGAATTCAGAAATTTTTAGTGACATATGGGGTGTAGATTGTTTAATAGTTGGTGTTGAATTAATATGGTAGAATTTTTGTTGGACACGTTTCCTTTATGGTTCATTGATCAACTGCAAATGTTTAGGAGTTTATATTTTTATGGATAATTGAGGCATTGTTTAGTGAGAATTGGTGGTGTTGAATTAATATGGAAGTTAGAATATTACTTATACTTCATTGATGAACTGCAAATGTTTGGGTGGAGCTTCTATTTTTATAGATAATTGAGCAATTAATGCTTCATTAAAACAATCATCTATGTAAAGAAAATATCTTGAACTCGTACAACGCTCAGAAACGAAATATTCAGCAACATCGGTATTTATCGCACATTCAACAGAGTCGCATCTTATGTAATTATCGAACTCGGTACAAATTGATCGTAATGCGGTAACAAGTGACAGGGATGCATTTTAAACTGCACCAGAGAGGCTTCGAACCGTGTTTCATGTACAATTTTCATATCGACTTCAGGGAAATTTATTTTAAAAAATATAATTAAATAATTAGGTTGTGTCTTCATAAACTCAGACATTTATATCTCACAAAATTAGACATTTCAGATGTCACAAGGTAGTATATTCAATCACAATTATCTCCACAAACTTAAGACATTTATATCTCTCAAAATAATACATCTCCACAAAATCAGGCCATTTATATCTCACAAAACAATACATCTTCACAAACTTAGATATTTATACCTCACAAAATTAGACATTTCACATGTCACAAGCTAATATATTCAATCACAATTATCTTTACAAACTCAGAACATTTATATCACACAAAGCAATATATTTTCAGAAACTCAGAACATTTATATCTCTCAAAACAATACATCTTCACAAACTTAGACATTTATACCTCACAAAATTAGAAATTTCACATGTCACAAGCTAATATATCTAATCACAATTATCTCCACAAACTCAGAACATTTATATCTTACAAAACAATATATCTTCACAAAATTAGGACATTTACATCTCTCAAAACAGTACATCTTCACAAACTTAGAACATTTATATCTCCCAAAACATCTTCACAAACTCGTCATCTCACATGTGATACATCCAGTCACAAAAAAGCTCCATCCCCTACGCTTCAATGCCAGCTACCAGAGCCCAAAAACATTAGTTACTCATGCACACCGTTGAATCCCAATGAACGACAGGCCACTAATAATCCAGATTCCGTGCCGGCCAACGTTCCAGCAGTACACAGCATATCTGACCCAAGCGCAGAGGTCTCGTTTGCCTCAATACGCCTTGAGTGGAACAATTAATCCTTATCTAGACCGACACTTATTAAATCCCAACCGGGATACGTGTCCTGCCACAGTCGCAGATCCTTCAGTCGCAGAATTACAACGTCTTCCCACTGGGAATAACATAATTGCTCACGATGCCTCCCCATAGAGAATGCAAATATTTTGAATAACCGTCCCATGGAGAACCGCCCTGATAAATAATGGATAGATACTCCCAGTGTCGAGTGTTTCACCGATTATCGCGAGGCAATGTCTTATTCATGAAAAATTTATATTCAGATTCGAGGATTTATTCCTGGCTGATGTTGCTCCAGTCTTGAGTCGTTAAAGAGGAGGAGGGCACCTTTGTTACGGAGTCACTTTGCCCAGGAGTTTAAACCTTTTTCTATAAATAGGCCAACACTTGGTCAGTGGACAGCTTTAATGTGGGATTTATTTTATAACGTTAAGTCTGCGTATAGGTCTTCTATTAGGAACTATTTTATTTCTGACAGGGGTTAGAATAGGATTTTTATATTGTTTAACACTGGGAATTGTACTGGCGAAGATGATCTGTCAGATTTTTATTTTGGAATTGATAGCGAAGCAGATTTGGGTGTTTGTATGGATGTATCGGTGCGAGCTTTAAATTTTTGTGGAGGTTTGTTACGTATATTGAGTACTTGGGGTTTAGAATAGGATTCTTTTTATAGTTTTTAACACTGGGAATTGTACTGGTGAAGATGATCTGTCAGATTTTTATTTTGGAATCATTGGAACTGATAGCAAAGCAGATTTGTGTGTTTGTATGGATGTATCAGTGTGAGCTTCAATTTTGAGGAATATAGTTTTTTGAGTTTTTTAAATGTTGTGAGAATATTATTTTAATTGTTTGGTAGTTTAGTGTTATATGGATGTAATTGTAGTTCCTTCATTTAAAAGTTTAAAGTTGTTTGGAAGTAGGGACTTCATTCAGGTTATTTATTCTAATTGATAAGTGTACTTTTTAACACTGGAACTAAACTTAAACAGTATCTTAAAAATTCCTTTGTGAAAGCTTTAAACATGAATTTATTAAGATTTCAATTGGTTTATATTTTAAGCACTGAATCATAATTTAAGTGTTTAAATTATAAAATTTATATTAAGTACTAAATAATAATTCTTGAAATTATTTTAAGATAAAAGAAACAATTAGGAATTGGTAATTTTGATCACTTGGTAGTTCCAGTGTTGATGTATCATTCAGTACATGAAATGTTCTCATAGAAGCAAGTAGTATAGGTCATTATGTGATGTTTCTCCTACAAACTGGTTCATTAATTTCATTCCTCTTCAAAGTAAATTTCTTCACATCATTTAAATCTCCATTGATTAATTAACAGTTTTGTTAACACTGAAACTATCACTAAACATTTAAAATGATTCCAAAAATAGCTCCACTACTTTAAAAAAACTAGAAATACTCCATTATTACCATTTTCACAATAATTACATAATTACATATCAACCACTCATCAATTTTATTGTCAACTATAAATATCTCATGTCTCATCATCAAACAAATCTCTTTATTTATCAATAATTGATATACAAAACCATTAAACATTTGAAACAATTAAAAAAATAGCTCCACTATCAAAAAACTGGAAATATTCCATTATTACCATTTTCACAATAATTACATAATTACATATCAACCACTCATCAGTTCTATTATTGACTATCAATATCTTTCTAAAATCATCAACACTCTACAGGTACATCACTCTAACTCTGTCCTAAACATCAGATCTCTTGCAGTGAATCACTTCAGCGCCATTTGTTTTTACTCCTCCAAGCGAACATAACCTCTTTATCTCCGCTGGACGATTAATTCGCGATCGGTGCCGCTGATATTCAGGACGTCGTGGCCGCAGAAAACGCGCGAGCCATTTTACCGGAATGCATAAACGCGCATAAATTCGAGTCGAACGCGGTACGTGACATTGTATCCAGCCGGATGTAGGTCAGATTTACTCTAGGACACGTTTAATTGGCGATGGTACGTTATCTATGCTCCTGCGTGTAGTATCGTACAGGCGAGTCAACGTTAAATATGGGTCACGGTCGCAACGGGAGCTTCGTCGAATAATCGTGTTGCTTCGGTTTTACGAATCCGCCGGCCGAGCTGCGCGACATATTGTTCTTTCGGTTCGCGACGTCCTACGCGGGCGCCAACATTCGCGGTAATGCGACTTGAACGATATAGCGCTGCTCGCTTAAATTTCACAATTTCGAGTCGGTGGAATTTAGCCGAGCAGGGAAAATTGGGAGATGGCTTTTAGGAATTGACTCGGAGCACGGTCTGGCGACGGCAGAGAATCGATACAGTGAGCGGAAGCGGGATAGACACACGTGCAGCGAAGAAAATCTCAGTTGCAGTAAATTTTATCTTGTTGAATGTAGTGTCAATGGATTGCTGAGATTACGCCGAGTAAAATGAGTACAAACACGATAGGAATCGGACTACTTTTAGTGATTTGATGTAATTAACGAAGTTAAAGGCTCGTTTTCATGAAGTCGAAAAGTTAGTCAGATTCCCATCGTGTTTGGGCTCATTTTAATCAGAAGAATCCCAGCAATCCGTCGGTGCCACGATCGAGAATGTAAGATCAAAATTCTTCCAACTGAAATGTCCTCCACAGCGTGTTTACGTTCGACGCGTGCGGCGTCGCTTTGAAGTTGAGCGGTTCGACCCTCGATGCCCGACGGCCTGCGTCATACCGCTTCTGCTCATTGTGTTCATCTTCTGTTTCTGTCCGCCAGGATCACGTTACACCGAGCTCTGAACAGCGAGTCGTGGGGGAAGGGCAGCTGGTGCTATAGAAGTTAGCCGAACGGATTTCGCTGGAATTTTAGGGAGCCTCCCTGCATTGTTCTTTTGACTCGCAAACTTCTGCTCGGGCGTCAACGCTCGCCGCTATCATGCGGAGATAATGCGTCGTGAATGAGAGTTAATTAACACTTTATCTACCTAATCGAGGCTGCCACTTACAGTCCGTTGCATGGAACCTGGCACTTGTGAAATTATAGGAACGAATAGTAGATCATCAGCGAATTAGCTAATCAGCCGTCTTTTAATCTGACCATTGGCACGAAAGTGCCAACTTAGCTGCAACGCGTGGTACCAGTTGACTATGTGATTTTAGCTGATGCACAGGGATGTATAATTTTAGTTAACAAGTTTTGTAACTTAAAAATCAAAGTTGTTATTTGTAATTGAAAATATTGTAGCAAGTGACTTCTTTCGATTTTGAAATGTGGAAACTGGGTATCAGACTTGAATGTAAATTGTAAATCTCTTGGAAATGCAATTTCGTGTAACGATGTAAATAATCAGAGTTGTCTCGCGCTCGGCGAGCGTGATATTACGAGTGATAACGAGGAGTTATTATCCTGTAGTGTCATTGGGGAATAAAACTTTCTCTGCAAGTAATCAGAACTCTCGTCTAACCTCGTTCCGAGTTTCATCTGTTGTTATGATTGTGGGGCGAAAAGTTGTCATTGAATGTCGTTAGACGTTTCTTGCCTCGGTTGGCAAAATTTCAAAAGCACATCGCTTTAGATCAATTGACTACGGATATTATTGATCCGCACTGCCTATCCCTTCTGTCACCGACGGTTTTCACCCTTTCAAACTTCTTGCTATTATATCTTCTTGGCTAAGACCTTACCAAGTTGACTTTTCATGTTCTCTGATTTTTATCAATTTTAATGAAATAAATAATATTCTGTTTAGCTAAGTCCATTTTTGGATGTTTTTAGATTTTTGGGAGTGTTATAGAAATAAATAATCTTTTTAGCTAAACATTTTTGGATATTTCCTGATTTTTCCTAATTTTAATGGAGTAAATAATATCCTTTTTGACTAACCAACTCAATTTTCTATATTCTTTGACTTTTCTTAATTTTAATGGAAAAAATAATATTCTGTTTAGCTAACTAAGACCCAGCCAACTCAATTTTTCATATTTTCTGATTTTTGTCAATTTTAATGGAATAAATAATCTATTTAGTCAACTAAGACCCAACCAACTGAAATTTCAATATTCTCTGATTATTCTCAATTTTAACAGAATAAATAATATTCTGTTCATCAACCCAAGACCTAATCAACTCAGTTTTCAATATTCCCCAAATTCTAGTGAAACAAACAATATTCTCTTTATTTATTCAAGTATTCACTCATCCCTTCATCTGTTCCAGATTAGAAAGCCCTCCTAACAACATTCAAATATATTCTACAACTTCCAACTCCAAAACACAATTTCCCAATCTTCATTTCCTAAACCTACCCTCACCGATTCTCACTTTCCATGTTCAGATACCTTATATACACCGTAAGAACCACCTCAACGTACCTAATAGTTTCAACCACTAATTGAACTGTGTTTCCAAAGTACATGACGGAGAAGATGGGCGGCGCGGAGGGCACCAAGCTGGACGTGGACTTCATGGACATGGAGAGGGTGAGCACGAGTTTCTACATTTTTAAGGTTTCATACATTCTGGCGCTTTGCGTGTAACCTTGGATCGATCCCGTCCAGGCGGGGAACTCTTTGCTAGCTTGATAATCTAGTGAGAGGTTCGAGCGACAAATGGCATGGATTTGTTCATAGAAAACCGACGTCACGTGCGAGCTGGTGGAGGAGCTGCAGCTCAAGACGAAGGAGTTCCTACAGCCGAACCCGACGGCGAGGGCGAAGATGGCGGCGGTCAAGGGCATCAGCAAGCTCAGCGGTCAAGCGAAGGCTTCTACTTACCCTCAGCCTGAAGGCGTGCTCGGCGACTGCATGCTCACCTATGGCAAGAAGCTCGGAGAAGATAGTATTTTTGGTACGCCATCAATTTAGAGAGCCATAATTGAAGTTTCAATATTATATAACTAAAACATCTGATTTCAAGTATTTATTTTAAATAATAGAGTTATGTATATTGAAAGTAGTTGAGGGATTGTTCTTCGATGGTAGATATAGTTACTGTATGTGTTTGTGTTTTGGGTGTTATTGGAAATATGGGTTGTAACTTGTTTTTTGGGGAGCATATGTTTATAAGATAATGGGAATATAAAATTGAATAGTTTTGTTTGAAGTGGACTTTTTAAGATGTGGGAAAGGTTAGGTTGATGCTTGAGAAGGGAAAGATGAGTTTAATTGTTGTAGTTTGAAATTGGGAACACTTTTTATCATTTGTCATGGAGAACAATATTTTAAAAATTATGTGTCAATTGTCTGATTAAGAAAACAGTAGATTACTTATTTCTACATTGTTCTTAAAAGTCTGCCATTACATCCAATCTTTAAATAACCTTCAATATTTAACAAATCATCTCAATGATGAGGTAAACATTACAAAACATTCTAAACACAATCTACCAATCCCCCAATTAAGAAACCAGTCTATTTATCTCCACACCATTCCTGTCTGCCACTTAAAAGTCTCCGAACCCCAAGCAACCTCCAATACCCAGCAAATCATCAGAACAATCTAAACACAGCATTCCAACCACACTCCATCCCACAGAAACTCACACTCTTCATTCAACCCCCAAGAAACTTCGCCAGAAGTCCTCCCAGCAATTAGTCACCTAAGTACGTACTCCAGTGCAAGACCATTCATCCATCTTTTCTAATTCCCAGCTCAGGCTCTCATCGAAATGGGTGAGGCGATGAAGCAGATGGCTGATGTGAAATATTCTCTGGACGACAACATCAAGCAGAACTTCCTGGAGCCCCTGCACCATTTGCAGACCAAAGATCTGAAGGAAGTGATGGTGAGTTCCATGGTCATTAACCCCCCTTGGCCTATGATTTCTTTCTCAATTCTGATCGATACGGCTACTTTGTCATTAACAATTTATTAGAGAAAAGAAAATATAGGCATGATATATGCTTAGAATTAGTAATCAATTGTTATACTTAAAGAGAATAATTCTTAGAATTAGTAATCAATTGTTATACTTAAAGAGAATAATTCTTAGAATTAGTAATCAATTGTTATATTTAAGGAGAATAATTCTAAGCATATGTCATGCCTATATAACTATATAACCTATATAACCTAAGTATATATAAGTATATAGGTTATATAGCCTACATAACCTAAGTATATAGGTTATATAGCATACATAACCTAAGTATAACAATTGATTACACAGGAATAATGTTGACTTTGAACTAGAATGAACTGAGCAACATATATATTTGTTGAATTACTTTTGTTGAATGATTACTAATTCTAAGCATGTCATGCTTATATAACTATATAACCTATATAATCTAAGTATATAACTATATAGTCTAAGTATATAGGTTATATAGCCTACGTAACCTAAGTACAACAATTGATTACAAAGGAATAATGTTCACTCTGAACCAGAATGAACCGAGTAACATATATATTTGTTGAATTCTGTTAAAAATCTTCACCACTGTTGTTATAGGACAAGGGGTTAAAAGTCATTGGAAAACATTGTTTAACATATCTCTCTCTCTGTTCCAGCACCACCGGAAAAAGCTTCAGGGCCGAAGGCTCGACTTCGATTGCAAGCGAAGACGCCAAGCGAAAGGTACACTCGCCGCCGCGTGCTCACTTTATCTCCCCGTCTCGTTATTGATTTATTTAAGCAGCAGCGCGCGCGCGGCCTCGCGACACGACAAACTCTCTCGACGCGTTTGCAATTATAATTCGCATTTTCCAATAAACGATGAAACCCACACCGCCCCGGTGAACGGCGGTGCAGCTGGCTGCGCGATTAGCTGTGCGTTCTTCCAGTTTGTTTACTGGACACAGGGGACAAACGTCGAATCAAATCTCAAACGTTCCAAACGATGCCCTTTAAACGCTCTCGAGTCACTAGACATTGATGTATATACAGGGCAGAAATTATAAGTTACAGTCGAGTATCTCTGAAAATATGCAGAAATGTTTCAGAAAGTTGTTCAATACAAAGGACATCATTTATTCTTCCTGGACACTCCAAGGTCAGGTGAAGGTCAACATTCTTTCAAATGAAACACGTTTGCTTATCCATCAAATGCGTTTCAACGAATTCAACGAATGACTCAAGGTCGTTCAATTTCAGTTTCAATTCCTTTTGAAGGAAAGTTGACCTTCGCTTCACCTTGGAGCGTCCAGGAAGAATAATGGTGATGTCCTCGGTATTGAACTTTCTGAAACATTTTTGAGTGTCAATATTTTTGGAGATACTCGACTGTAATGCTTTGTAATTTCTACTCTGTATGTGACAATGAATAAGAAATTTGAATAGAAATATCTAGCTTAAGGCAGATTTTCACTGTACATACACCGCACTCGCATGTACTACCGCATGTGCACGTTCTGATTTATAATTGTTGGTCGTTCTTACCTCAGTCTAACGACTGACGATGACGATGATGACGTTTAGGCGGTTTCGGCACCCTCTTTTCTTTTATTTATTATACACACCGGAGCAACTTTGATTGTTTCTTTCTTTGAACGCTTCCTTGATCACTAGCAGCCGGGAAAAGATCCGGCAGTCCACATTGTGGAAGTCCGGTAAGGACTTCATCGCCATATACCGGTATGTGATACAAAAGAGATCTATTTAGAATCTAACTTGAGTCCAGTCTTGTAGAGTCTCGGGCTTTGACACGGATCTTTCGATTGCCTTTCTGTATGTTACACCTGTACGTAGGCGTATGGCAGATTAGAGATGTTCGAGTCACGTGTAACTTTCTTTCGGGGAATTCCATGTAGGCTTTGTGAGTTACGTTCAGGCTTTTGTGGATGGAATTCAAACTTTTGGGAATCTGGGAATTTTATGTACTTTGTTGGAGGAAATGTCAGAGTAGTTAGCGAGCAATCAAGAATTGTGTTGGAGAGGGGTGTTACGTATTCATTTCAAACGAATTGCCAATTCATTACAGTTAATACGTATTACGTAATTAAGAGATTCAAAGTAAATAGTACAAATATTAAACGTTTGAGTTTCCCTGAAATAATATAAGTAATATAAATATTAAACGTTAACACACACTTCTTTAATTCTTGATTTCTTACTAACATTTGATACTTTTCCAGTAAAATATACACATAGAAGTGCTAGATTTGCAAAAGGGTGAATTCAACATACAAAAAGATGAATTTAATTTGCAAAAGGGTGAATTTGAAGTGCCTAACCTATAAAATGATAGGTATACTTGCTCGAGTACACACATAATACTCAAGTATTTGCGAGTGCACTGAATGCTGATTGTACCATTTGATAAATTTCTTCTAAGGGATTTCAGTATTTGCTTGTACTAGGAAGGAAAAGACGTACGCGATCAAAGCACCTGGACGTCACTTGGAGTTCGGTTTACTTTTGCTAGAGTTATATGTCTCGCTTTCCCGTTCTTTCTCTCCCCAGTATATCTTGTGTATCTATCCTAGGCAATGAAGCAACCCAGTAGTGCAATTTTTAATATCTTTGCTGGCGCAAATTTTGCGAGCAGGTTCTCACGTTTCAGACGACGAGATACGTCAGGCTGAAGAAAAGTTTGCGGAGAGCCTCCATCTGGCACAGATGGGAATGTTCAATTTGTTGGAGAACGATGTGAGTTGTTCGCAGTGCATCAATGATTCTTCAAGACTGTTCGAGTGGAATATTAGATAATTCTTTTTTATCATACGCTGTATTATTATTTAGGTAGAGCAAGTGGCACAGTTGGCAACGTTTAGCGAAGCTCTCTTGGATTACCATCAACAGTGTACTGAGATCTTGAAAGCATTAACAGAGACGCTTCTGGAGAAGTACGTACTCTTTCGAGCCTCTGAAATCCATTCGCATTCTTGATACATTGATTTATTTCTAAATTATAGGAAAGACGAAGCAGCGAACAAGCCAAAAATGGAGTTTGTGCCTAAGACGTTGGCTGATCTACATGTTGATGCATTACCCACATCGGATGCTATGAACGGTGGGAACTTCTCTCTTCACGGTAAAACACATTTTACACTTACACATACAGAGATGATGATATTTGCGGGTGAACTGGCTGTTTGTTCTTACCTCCTCTGTCATGCAACAATTCTACATGTCCCTTAACTATACTCTCTGGCCATGTACATTGTCGTATCTTCTACTTGTTGGATTCTCCTGTTACTTATTTTTGTTCTCTAACAATCATTGAGTTTCATTGTATCTTAGCACTCGAGAGAAAATCTTAGATGCACATCATGTGAAATAACATGGGCAGTATTCTCTGCAATGGAATTATAGGTTAGAGTACTAAGCAACGAAGAACTTCAGGAAATTGAGGAAATCATTTTTACCACTTGTCAGTTTTAAAATATATTCTGTAATACGTAAACAAGGTTCTTTGCCATATATTTAATATTAAACAGATATTTTTAGCAGTAACAACTTATCTGGCAAGGAAGATTGTAGTTCGCTGACGAACAACTGAAGTATGTGTATTCTTTTAGTCGAACCATGAAATAAATTCAAGATAAACACATATAATAATATGTTCATAAATTCTCTAATACAATTGTTAGAGAATCTTATTAGTTATTATTTGTCCAAGTGAAAGGTGGTTAAAAATGACTTTTCAAATTTCCATGTACTTTCTTTCATAATATCTGAGAAAGGTTGCAATTTGAGATGTTATATTCCACTACAACATTCTGTATACCATTTACCAACACTTCTATTACACATTCTCTAACTGTTCTCTGTGTATACTCTCGCATACTTGAATGTCTGTCCTTTTGACGTAATTTAGGGGCGAGTCGAGCCGGGTCTCCAGTCCATTTGGAAGGGAAGCGCTCACAGCTCGAGCTATTTCCGGCTGGAAACCCGCCACAATCTGCTAATGGTAAATTTTGCATGGGCTTATTTTCTCCTTGTGTTACTAATCGACTTCCATTTTCCGCTTTTTATGTACTGCAACCAAAAAGCCTAGAGAATTAATGTCTCACCCTTTATGTGCTACTATTAATGTGTGTATGTTCGTTAAACCACTGTACCCCTTCTCTTTCTGTTAGTAATTCAGATATTATTTTTCTTTTCGCTTTGTTTTCATTACAGGCGATGGATTGTAGACGTAACTTTTAGTCAAGGATTACTCTTTATTTTAGTCCTCAGTATATACAGAGTTTATTTTATGCGTTGAATAGTCTTATTTGACTAGAACTGAAATCAACAGGCAGACGTTTAGTTATTATAATTACATATTTCAGATTATCAGAGAGCATAATATTTTCTAGTATATACGTATGTTTTGTTTCTTCTTAAAACAATGCGCGTTCAACTATTTTTCAGCTTCTCCTTTGCCATCTCCAAGCAAGTCGCCAGCAAGGACTCCGATGACAAGACAACCGTGCTGTACAGCTTTATTCGACTTCAAGCCAGAAAATTCTGGGGAACTCGGGTTCAAAGTAAATATAATAATGTGTTCAATCAATGATAAGGTTATTGTAATTGTAGGATTATCTCTAATACTTTGACTGTTATATTTCACTTTTAATGTAATTATAGTTATTAATAATTAAATCAGTTTTAAGATAATATAAATTCATTTGGAAAGCTGAAAGAGCATATAACGTTAAGTTTATTATCACAATACCAGCAGTATTCAATCTCATTCATCATGTGTGATGCAATAGAGTTGTTTGAAGAAGTTTACATCAACCGACGCATAAGTCACACATCGTTCAACAACCTTTCAAATTCAGAGTCTAACAGAGATCACGCTTGTCATCACGCTGACAGTCAAAGTATTAAATAACATTATCGATACATATTTTTCTTATTTCTATATATGTAGTCACATCTAGAGTATACAACAGTCCTGAATGATTAAACGTGTTTTTCCAGGAGAAGGATATAATTACCCTGATCCAACAGATCGACGAAAACTGGTTTGAGGGCAGTCTGAACGGTCGCACGGGTTTCTTCCCAGTAACTTACGTGCAAGTCGTAGTGCCATTACCTTAAAAGAACATACTACGTCCTGAAACCAAAGACCCTGCATTCGTTCACCAGCGTCTACCACGAAATTATCTTAACTCTCCAATTAGCCTAACTCTCTCTCTCTCTCTCTGTCTCTCTCTCTCTCTCTCTCTCTCCCCCTCTCTCTTCCTCTCTCTTCGAGACTTCTCTATTGTCACTTACGTTCTATGATCCCAAGGCTTGTTCGTAACGACGGATTTCAAAGTTTCTCTGTCTCTCGTTTCATTTTCTTCTGTTGTCCCAAAAATAGCTGTATACGCATGTTAATGTACATATATAATGTTATAGTGTCTTTTATCGACGTAAGGACCCTCGCGCGCGCGCGGACACGGAAAAAAAACACAGAGATACAAGTTACATACATACATATGACGAAGAGACACACTGATTCCGAAACACTTAAAGTACCTACGATGGCAGTCCACTGTCACAGGCGGCTCATTTTTCACGTTCGACGTCGTCTCTCATAGTCATGAATATAATATAACAACATCCTTGTTAGTTTATCACCAAAGTTCAATTGCACAAAGATATCAGACCGCCAAGACTGCATTGAAATTCGAGTAGCGAGAAACCATTTCGAATACTCTTATGCATCTCGAGCATATTAATTTCTATCATTGTCAACGTATATTACATTAGACAAAAATCTTTAATTTTAGTTTTCTCACCTTTAAAGGTGTATATCAGTGTTTTCTAACCTGTCTTAAGAGATTCGTTGCTCACTTGAACACGTGATAAATCGTTTGCATGAGGCCATCTCCATTGTACATGTTTTCTACACTTATTTCTTGGTATATGTACGAAAAGAAGAGAAAACGAGAATCCTCCGAATCGTAGAGTACAATTCTGAGTTTGGTCCTCGACGCGTGAACGCAGTATTCGTTCCTCGTTCATAGGTCGTTTCACACAAGCGACGGCGCTCGTCCTTTTTTTCCATTAATCGTACTAGCTCACACCGAACGGAACCTTAGCGTTTAATGCGATCCTCACAATGGCGGCAAATTCTCTTCCTCGAAGTTGTGTGTTGTTGGTTGTCATGGAGACAACGGTCAGCGACACCGTGACTCTAGCGGATCGTTCGGTTCGGTTGACGAGTTGTTCTGTTGTGATCGCTTCGAGTCGTGTGACGCGTCAGTTACGTTAGTACTAATAGACTCTTCGCTTATTATTAATTAGTCTAATTATACGACTTCTCTCGGTACAAGTTAAGTC